CCATCAGAAAAACAGGTTTTCGTCTTCGACCAAGAACCTTCACAGCAAAGTATTTTTCCAGCGAAAGTACCATAAGATTTTCATCGGTATCAAAATTTCTTTTTTCAATTACTAAATATTTTTTAATCTCAATGGGAACCGCTTCATCAGTTAGAGTTTGGAATTCGTATCTTGTTGTCTTGTGTTGAACAGATTTTATGGGAAAATATGAAAACAAAGCAGATATTTTAGTTTATTCCATTGCTAGAAGAGCCTTTTATCAGTTGATTATTTAGGACAAACTAACAATAGCAGCCACAGTATTGATGGATTATTACAATAATTAAAAACAATGCTTAGCAGGTCACGGGTAACCTATGTCATCAAAACCGGTTAAATACCGCACGGTTATCGCTACGATATCAGTCTGTTACATTCCCCGGTATACCACCAGCGGAGCTGGAATCTACCGACCCGTGCGGTATATCGGTGGGTTGTATCAACGGTATCAAGCGGTATTTTATCAGTGCAAGAGTTCGAATCTAGTTCTCAGCTTTTTTTATTTTTGTTTGCGCATCCAGCGCAATGAGGTACCCGAACGGGGAAAAGTTGACTCAAGCCTCTATAAGTTGACTTGTCTCTATAATCTGAAAGATTTTTGACCTTTCTGGCTTTCTTATACAGGCTGCCAACCGCAAAACAAAAAAGTGATTGTGTCAAAACGGTTTACAGACGATTTTTCGTGTACCACGATCTGAAAAACACAGTGCAGTAATCCTCGGTGGAGGAAAAGGCGTCAATAAACCGGTAGTTATACCGAACGGTACGGCTAACCAACAGTAATCTATACACACGTCGGTAACCGGCAGTATTACGAAACAACGTGCGACAAGGGAAGATGTCAGAAGATGTCGGAATCACTTTTTGCACATGAGAATGGCGGCTACTTATGTTTGTAACGACAGGACTTACAATACATTAATTTGTGCACGTTTATTGATATTCCTGTGCGCTCAATCAAACTGGATGTTTTGAAATAAGAGGTTTATTTTCGATCTTCAGGAGGCTTCTACAGACATCCGTAAACTAAAAGTAACTTCTTTTGAGTTCTATTACTATTCTAAAAGTAATATTCTTTTGAGTTCTGGCAAACAGACCTTGGAAAGTACGCATTCGTTGAAAATTTATTTCGATATGCAATGAATGACAATAATGCCTATTGATGTATATGATGTGTTTGCGAATTATCTATTATTTTCTGACTAGTTTCTCGTCACCAAATAGATCAGGTAATGATCGACTGCGAATTCTCATACTCTGCCACATTTAATACTTACCCAGATGGTGACTTAAACTAGTGAGAGAAAAAATAAACATTGGAAGTCTATGGCCAAATTTTTCATGATCTCATGGCAAAACAGAAAAACAAGAGGACAAACATATTGTTCGTTAATTCCATTCTTTTCTGTGAATTGATTTCGCTTTTGTAATAGTCGAAGAAAGGAAAGAAGAAAAACATAGCTTTTAAGAGACAGCACAATGTGAGTGATGCTCTTGTCGTTATGTTTTTGAAAAAACGAAGCATTAGACAATAATAATAATCGTTTTTCGTATCATACTACAGTGGAGACCGCCATATTCACTCAAGGAATTATTAATAAAATAAATAATTAGAATTAAATTACAAAAACTTGAATATGAATAGCAGTGTACTCATATGAAGCACAGTGTAAGCATCTCACATCTCCATTTGTACGAATAACATCTGACCCCTTTTTTAAGCGAGACCAGCTTCGCTCGCCGGAGCCCAGCTCCTCTGCGCCATTCTACAATCAAACTGTTAGTGATCAAATTTTGTACATACCACCACCACCATCACACTTGTTGACTCAAATTGATTCTCAACACACGGTTACAACCGCGAAGTTTGTAGTCTCGTCATTAATTTTGTGGAAAAATTCTTGTATATATTATCGTTTTAGGAAAGGAACATCCCTATTAAAAATATGCTTGATCTTTGTTGGTGTGATACTATTTTTTGTACTTGTCGCGCTTACCTCATTGGCTGTCCTCTATTCGCTCCGAACATCCTCCACCTCAGGTACACTTTCCTTCTAGGGAATGACCATCCATCATTAATATTTTTCTCAAACAGATACGACAGCAACAACATCTACAACAACCCTTACTACCACAAGTAAGTGCAAAACATGCTTTATGTACTGTAACGATATCGGTTTATCCTTCCACAAAAGGTCAATATGAGTGTTCGAATTTTACGGTTGTTGTCAACTACGACTACCCAAATAATGACATAGCGAATGCACTACCGATGACTTATGCTGTATGTTGCGCCTGGTGTCTGGACACAGCCACTTGTACGACGTTTGCCTATATTGTAAGCACTTCGCGGTGTTGGATTAAAACATCGATTGGAACGGGTGGCGGCGTATCTGTTGGTACTATTGGTGTCCATATGTAATAATGACTCTGTATATTCGATCGCGTTTAGACAATTCAAAATATTGTTTTATATAGATTGTCATTTATTTTGAGAAAAGTTAGAAGAGCTAAAGTAAGTATATTGTGAGGAACGTTGAACATTTTTGAGTGCTAACAACGCTGTATAAAGTGGGAGAGAAAATTTTACAAAGAAATTAGAACAGAGCACGTGTCGTTAATGACAAAAGTCTCTCCTTGAAAAAGGGATAGCTCTTGCATACGGAATTAACTGGAGACATTGAATTTGTAGATGGGTACAAGCAGAACTGTGTGTGCTCTTTTTCATTGGCAGTGCGAACAAAACTGATGTGATGCGTTTCCATCTATCGTTTTTGATATGTTCTTATATTATTACACTCTTTTTCTATTCTGGTTGAGCCGCAGATCTTGCTTAAAGAGGAAAGAGAAGAAATAGAAAAGTCAGTATATGAAGCATTTAACAAATCCATAGTTTTGTTATATTCTTCTACTGATTGCTTTACAAGGTCATTAAAACATATAATTCCGTTTCAGTGATAAAAGAAACTTAAAACACTTCACTCTTGCATTCTCACATACGATAAAAATTCAAAACAATCAACCAAATATAAAACTTTGTTCGTTCGCAAAGTAGTTAAATGGGGATAGCTTGGAACGCACAGTGGGCATCCAGGCGGAAATTAGGTGAAAAATCGAAGGTGCTCCTAATTCAAATACAAATAGTGGAAAATGTAGCCCTTTCAAAGGGCTATCGAATGGTATATAAATGTCTATTTTGAAAATGGTTCCTACGACAAGAAATCACGGTACACAAAACCGATTACGGATTTCGTTACTACATACGAAATAAAGATTCTTTGCTTACTCAATTATGATACGCGATTTCAAAGCACATATTCAGAAGCAGCACGTCTTCAGTTATTTATTGATAACAACATATTTGTATTTCGGCACCGAATTCAATAAGTAAGAGCGACATGTTCTTCAACACGTCAGTCCGTAGTAACAGTACTCCAGTATAGTCGGGTCGTCCTCGTTAGCCCCACGCGAAAATAACATTCAAACGCATCAAAATGTTCCTCAAACGCTACTCTTTGTATTCTAAAATCGCAAAATCGCGCACATTTTCCAAGGAGGTTTTACGGATTTTCCAAAATCCCAAGGGGTTTTCGCGTATTTCACATTTTCCTCTCATCAAAGCACTTTTTCGTACAAATAACGCCATATTCGGAATCACCGTGAAAAACTGCATCGAATGATGTATAGCTTTTAATTTTTCTTCAGAAATATTTTCGATCAAATTGAATTATAGACTTGAAAGCTTGTCCGCAGCAAATTTTGCTTTGTATATTTATTTTAGCAATAGTACACAGGTCTATAAACACATCTTTTATTGGTTTTTGAATATGATCTTTCGAATAGTGAGGTTCTCGAAATGCAAAAATATTTTTTATGGATTTTCCAGAGATCCGGTCTCCAGAAAACTCACAAGGAATTACTTTGAGTATTAAAAATCTCATCATTAGAAAGAGCATATTCGAAAACCTATAGAAGAACGTGTTTATAGGCTTCCATACCACTCCTACGGCATATGTCCTCCTGGTCTATAGAAAAATGCCCACTGTGGAGCGTACTACGAGTTATCGCTTTCTCATCGGTATATGTGTAATTAAATTTATCCGTGGCATCGTGAGATACGTTTTGTTCACTCTTTTGCATTGCTAGAGCAATATTATAGACACCCACCACATACAACATTGTGACACTTATTTTATTCTGTGTTCTCTGTTTCATTTGATTAGAAAGATATTTTATACGGGGTCCTTAAAAGTTTAGTTTATTTGAATAAACATAAAACTTTTCACAACCGTATACGCGATTAAAGTTCAAAATCAAGGGCCCATCAATTGATTCTTATCACGATTGTCCTTAGCTGTTTAGTGAATAGTTCCTGAGTATCACGTACTATGATACTCAGTTGATTCAAGGTCGAGAAGTTTGTACAAACTCATCATCAACTCATGCAAACTATAAGTATTTTGCCTACTTTTACTACACTGCCTACAACAAATATAAGCATCATTACATTACACTTACGAGAAACATACCAAGCGGAGATATAGTCAATTGTCTGCTTTCGTGGCCTTTGAATAATTATACATTAACTTTGAATATATGTGAATCAATAAAGCATTGAAAATACAAACACATCATCGATATATCCATGTTGGATAAGATTTTTGAGTTCGCACAAAAACGAAGTAATCCCCGGTGGATCACAAGTCATCGAGTTTTCGTTTCGAGCTCAAGAAGGGCACAACTGATGAGTTATGAAAATCCACCACAAGCAGTACTGGAACCTCAACGACGGATATCCACATTAGTTTGTAAGTTGATTCCAACAACAGAACCAGATGGTTCATGTGGGCGAACCTCTGGTTTCTGTTCTCTCCTCGCAACGTCAAGCAACACAAGAGTCAACACGATCGAACCAGTTACGACTAGAGAAAGAAACAACACAAACGAAAAATAAATGAAAATCAAAACTTTTTGATACCAATTAATCGCATCACTTTTTCAAGATATCCTTGCAGTGTTAATGTCTGTTGTTTATAACGATTTTCTAAATCATGTAATCGTGCATTTCGATTCACAAATAACTTTTTTCTTGATGGTATTGTACTAGTGGCTGTATGACGTGATAATATTGCTGAATTATGTGCATAATTGTTTTGAACAGCACGAATAATCATATAAAAATGTGGATGTATGATATGATTTAAATCAAAATTTAAACGATGATGCCAACCTTCTAAACTATTATTTGTTCTTGAACTTTTAAAATCAAAATAATTCCACAGTGATAGATCGAATAATGCATCATTACTTGTTACATAATTGTATAATTACACCATTACCCACGTACTTGTTATATAATTGTAAAATACCTCAATATGCTCATATCTTGAAATTGATCCATAATAAATGTCCATATTTTCCCAACTTCTTGCGGTGGCATGAATGCAAGTGCACATGTTTTCTTGATTGGACGGTTTCCTCATACTTGGTGGATCCGATCCATATTGTATAGCATGCCCAGGACACGAACGGTCTTCACATTTCCAATAAACAATAGTATTCACAATTTTGTCTTGGGTGTAACGAAAGTTATCAAGTAAAATAAAATTGGTTTCTTACACTTACTTTCAACAATAGCTAACATGACAAGGGGGAAAAAGCGCACTCCGCCACTCTGTGGAGTGCCGGAGCGGCTCGGAGTACCGCGGGCTTAAGAAATTTTATTGAACTGAACTGTCCCAGAAATTTCTGTTCTTACAAGCAGAACAAAGACGTTCTGTCTGTGGGAAAAGAATTCACGGAACAGAACACAATTATCCCGTTATCTGGGGAATTTCCCCAAGGAAAGTACCGGTTTGTTCTGTTCTGTTTCGGGAATCGGATTGTTCCGCTTTGGGGGAAGAATACTGAGAGAAATATCACTATTTTATTTTAAAAGAAAACAACGCACTCCGCCACTCCGGACCATTGTACGGAGTGCCGGAGTGCGATGTAGTGCGGTTTACACTGCGGAGTGGCTGGAGCGGCGGAATGCGCTTTTCCCCCTTGTAACATGAACTACAGTTCAGGATATATCAGAGAAATCATTCTGTTAAAGTTTAGTACAAATAGAATAGACAGTGATTAATTTTCGTTTCTAACTACTGTATATATACTTCATTTAGAATAATTCAGCATTCTTTTTAATTAGTCTATTTAAAAAAAGCTTATTAATTAGAATAATCTATAGTTTAGTTCTAGTTTTATTTTTCGATGAAACAAGAACACCAAAAAAAAATGTTTTTGACGAAACAGGAATATTAATTAAGCTTTCGACGAAACGGCAACTAACCCTTGTCAATCTATCATAGTACAGTCTATGAAAATACATTCTAAATCGGAATGATTATGTCTCTGCAAATTCTAATCCAACAGCTGTGACTATTGCAATTTAATCAGATAAATTCAGCAAAGTTCCTTTCACGTTTAAATGATAACACAAGTATATTTGATATATTCAATGAAGACATTGATGAACATCGAGAATTAAAAGATATAAGAGATGAAGCCACAGCAAAATTAGATCAACAGTACTTAGTAAAAATGGATATTCGTTTAAGTTTTGATTCATTAAAAGAAACAATACAAGAAATGGCATAAAAGAACGTAAAAAAAAACATAAAAACAAAAACGTAAAAGAACATAAGAACGTTTAAAAGAAAAAAGATTTGTTGAATTTAGTCTAAAATCTGCTAGTAATTAACATACAAAATCTAAGACAAATTCAATAAAAACGCTCTCGAGCATGACTCAAAATGAACACTATGAACGGATAGTTAATACATTAAATCATTGCTGTAAAAGTCAACCATAATCTATACAGTTACAAGAAAATAATGACTTTAAATTAATAATTAATCAAGCAGACAATGATAATTTTAATGGACATGTATTTTGTAGTTGTAATGAAAAGATCAAATTATTTTTCTATAATCAAAAATTCCAGCTGACAAATTATTATACCCAAGTTTGAAAAAACATCGTGAATTGGGCGATTCATCTAGATGCAACTGATTCTAACCCAATTCATCTAGTTTTCGTAAAGCAACTAATTGTGAATTGGGCAATTTATCTATATTCAATGACTCAAGCGAGTAGTAGGGAGCTTGCTACCCAATTCATTGGACCATAATTTGGCAATTCATCCACATTCACTCAAGACAATAGTAAGAAAGCGGAGATAAGGTGCGCGTAATTCGAAATTTGCACATGTTTTGTTTTCCTTTAAATGACACATATTCTGAGGCGTCTTGGTCTGCTGATCACGAATCTGACCTTTTTTTTCAGTTTGGAAAGTCGCTTCATGGAGAAACCTGGACGACAATGAGAACTTCTCAAAAAATGAAAAATACATGCCACCTCAAAAACTAAGCTCTATCTCCGTCAAAGTAAATTCGAAAACATTTCTAGAATTATATTCAAATTCCTCGTGCAAAACTGACCATAGGCAGCTGTTTCTAGGACTGTTTTCAAACTTTATTTCGATTAGAAAAATTTTCAAAGCAAAACACCTCGACTTTGGGCATCTTGCATTAAATCAAATTTTGTAGATTCCATATAATAACTAGCGCCTTCATTCTTACGCCATTCGAAAGGCCAAATGAAGCGCAAAAAACTAAATGCAAGATGCCCAAAGTCGAGGTGTTTTGCTTTGAAAATTTTTCTAATCGAAATAAAGTTTGAAAACAGTCCTAGAAACAGCTGCCTATGGTCAGTTTTGCACGAGG